GCATAAATGCATTTTTATAATAAGACTCTGTAGCGAGTTTAATTTCCTTATTTACAATATTTCGTAATCTTCTAAAATTGTCCCAATCACCAGGGACAGTAGAGTGTATAGCTTTTATTTTGGCTATGTCACGATCATGCATACGTTTTTTTAAATCAGATGTTATCCATGGAGAGTTCTTCAATCGAATACGCTTAGTACGTATTGGAGCATGTTTATCTGCTATAGTTAAAAATTTACTTTTCCATTCAGCCCACATTAGATTAGGGTCTTGAGTGTTAGATAAATTGTAACTCCAGTCTTGAGATGAAATATCACTACGGAAGTTTTCTCGATTAAACTTCTTAAAATTTCTATAGGTAATGTAGTTATTTCCTTTACTAGATACAGTATTTAAAGATAATTTGCGGTAGACATAGATTAGGCTATGGTCACTTATACCGCAATGCGAGACTCCTGAACAAACTACCCTGTCTGGATAGTTAGTGTAAATTAGATCGATCAAGGTGGAAGTTGTTTTGGTAATACGGGTATGCTCATTGATTAACTGCTGAAGACCATATGTATCGGTAATGCTCGACAGCAGATGGGTATTGTTGTCATACTGAGTACTATCGTTAGCTAAATTACAGTTAAAATCACCCATTAAATAAAACTCGATATTTTCTGCATCAAGACGTCCGATAAGGGACTCGAAAGAAGTAAATAACTCAACAGGAGAATTGGGTGGTCTATACCAGTTGACAACAACAAATGGTTTGGATTGAGGTTTTCGAATTTCAACAAATAAATTTTCCAAATTTTTAAACTTTAAATCCTCACGTATTGAAAAATTAATAGTGGTTCTAATATAGAAACAAACACCTCCACCATGTCGGTCTCTATCTCGGCGAAGTATTTCATACCCAGGGATATGTATTTCGCAATCATTAATCGAATTATCAAGTTTAATTTCGTTGAAGCCCGTTTCATACGCCGTACTTCACATGTGCCGAATACATTAAAGACAATAGATAATGAGCTGAAATGCCTCATTACCTATTGTTTTTAATGTATTCGGCACATGTGAAGTACGGCGTATGAAACGGGCCTGATTGAGAAGATATCTACTGGATAATTGACAAGCAGAATTCTCAGTTCATCTATATGTTTTATCAAACTAGCTATATTTAAAGAAGCTAGTTTGAAACCACGCTTTGCGGGAAAGGGTGGTATCGATTTCGTATTCAAAATTTAAGACTTTGGGAGATAGAGCATTCTGTATGGCTGCCCCAGCGTTGTGGAACAGTCTACCGTACTTTATTACAAATTGTACCTCTGTAAATAATTTTAAACAATTAGTCAAGACGTTTTTATTTCGTCAAGCGTTAATTTGATTAGCTTGGAACGTTTCTTAGTTTAATATCTTTGTAAAATTCTTAACTTCTGTAATGCGCATTTGAAAATTGTATGGTTGATAAATGCGCAATATAAGCTAATAAATTATTATTAAGTGAAAGTTTGTATAAAATTTAGGCAAGATTATGGCGTTCGTTCACTTGAATCAGTATTGGATATTGTCAAAGTGATGGATTTTGCTTTACAAGGTGGAAAGGTATTGTAACTTACAAACTGTTGCCTGTGTCTGCCTTTCATCGTCATCACTGTCACTAATGGCATTCCCATAAGGCCTGTCCAGTCGTACAATGCTATTCTTGTTCTAGTGTATGTAATCGAATGCAGTCGAACAAACACGTATTAAGAAATTTTGCAATTAACTAAATGAAGAAGAATTGTGGCGTCAGCAGTTTCTTTCATACGCCAGAATGACAATCGCATACTAATAAATACAATCGACTAATCGTATCATGTAGACAGACCTTTATTCAGGCATCATTAGAATGCACGAGCGTGCGAGCGTCGCTCGCAGGCGTGCACATTTTAAAATACTGACATTTTAACAATATTTTGGTCTGTGTTGGTGTAATGTACTCAGGCGAATATGATGCTTGTGATGTTACTCTGAGTGTATATCCACACCGGGCAAGCTTAAAAAATATGCCTGGGAACGGTGGAAATAGAACCTACGACCTTTGGAATAACTAGCCCAAAAATATATGCTAGTATTCCAAAGGTCGTAGGTTCGATTCCCACCGTTTCCAGGCATATTTTTCAAGCTTGCCCGGTGCGGATATACACTCAGAGTAACATCACAAGCATAATATTTAGGACCTTAGGTCACAAAATCTAAATAAGATACTTTTTTGGAGGCACATTTTGCAGAGACCTGCCTTTATTATTTTTGGTATCACAATGTTACCTATCTCGTGTAAAATGTTTAAGAATGTAGAAAACACGGTTTGCCTGAGGGTTTGCCGTCTTATATAATAACAACTTTCGTATCATTTTAGGTTGCTGTACATTGCCACGCAGGTTTAGGTAAATATTCTGCCTTACTGCGTTTTATTATGTAGTAGGCTAAATCCACCTTTGCAGACAGCATAGTTCTAAATTCTATTTCATCTTTAAAACTGTTTGTTTCTGCAGGTCGGACCGGTGTTCTTATAGCTTGTTACCTCATCTATTCATCAAGAATAACTCCTGAAGAGGTACAAGCAAATATCTCATATTCATTTCACGTGAGATTTACGACATTCCCCCCCCCCCCTTCCGCAAATGATTGTTAATCCTATTGAATATGCTAGCTTTATAAGCAGCAGAATCCTCTGCAGAGGAAGTAATGCCACTGCCGCATTTCGCCTACTTTATATAGATAATTGAATGCCATCAATCATTAGATATATATACTGTAGATAGAAACTTTATTTGCACTTTAACTGTTGTGTTTGATTCCCTTCTCTTCACTTAGATTAAAGTTTAGTCTAACATGCAAGTTGTCCATTATTAGGTTTTTATACTACTTTTTTTCGAAAATGTTGAGGCATATTTTCAAGTGTTATCATCAATATTCCAAACGATATGTGATTTGAAAGAAAAGTGACAAATACTTGCGTTAATAAAAAATAAAATATTGTATTCACGAATGTATGTGGCAAGTTTTATATTCTCAACTTAATTGGAGGCTTTTTTATTTTCGGTACAATATCATTTATAGACCCTCCGCTCGGGAGATTCGGCGAAATATTATCCTCAGTAATATTTCCCTCGGGGCAAAGTACTTCGGGGTAATATTTCGCCGAATCCCCCGAGCGGAGGATCTATATTAAATGATAAATATCATCATTTGAGGGCCACAAGTTTGTTAGTACTTCGTACTATTAAGTGTCACTCTCAGAGAACATAATGAAATTAGTAAAATTGCAAAATTTGGTTGCGAAATGTTGTAAAATACAGAAAATATAGCCTTGCGAAGTTTGCATATTTTCAGTATATTTGTATTACGTGCGGAAATTGTTACCATTTTCGGCTCAAAAATGGTAACAATTTCCGCACGTAATACAAACATACTGAAAATATGCAAACTTCGCAAGGCTATATTTTCTGTATTTTACAACATTTCGTAACCACATTTTGCAATTTTACTGATTTTAATAAGTTCTTACGGGAATTTACTTTACTTGCTAAATAAAAAATTAGTCTAACATGCAAGTTGTCTATTCATCCTTGTATATTTTGTCGGCCATCTTGTTTGCGTGATCGCCGCGCGTGATTTACGCGAATCATGTCACCCGTATGACGTGATCAAATCGCCATATATGTGATATGATATAAGCTTGGAGAAAAAGGTCTATAAGGTTTACAAGACATTGTGGTAGTGTTTTGTTAGTAATACAAGTAGTAAAAAGTATAATATTAAGTCAATTAATTTTTATAGGCTATCCACATTGTTCGGATAAAGAGGTTGGTGGTAAAAATAATATGAAGTAGCTAATTACATGAAGTATAAAATAATTAAACTCATCATCTCCTAAACACATTCTTGCAGGCCTAGATCTGTGCAGACAAGAGGTCAGATTTCTTGTGTTCAAGAGTTCGCTAAATTTTTGAAACCAGTATGGGTTATTTTCCCTTTGTGGTAAGAAAAAATGATGTAATTAAGCTTTACGTTTTTGTAGTAACTTTTGACCTGTAACTAATGATCAAAACTCTTTATTATTTACTTTAACTTCTGAAGTTAATTCTTATTCTTATACTTTCCCATTCTGTTTCATATATAGCGACAGCTTTGAAGTAAAACCCTTTACATTACAAAAATATCTTGTTCGTCAAAAACATGTCTTACATGGATATGAGGCAAGAGAGCTAAAGTTCATTCCAAAGGTGTGAAAATGAAAAATCTTTATGGAACAATCCTGTCAATTATCTAGATTGCTTTAAAATAAACATATTTGAAATTCACTACCAAATAATTTTGTTCTTTTCTAATCTTGTTGCAGATTATTTTTGTTACTTGTAAACGTCTTTTGGAGTTATGTGGTTTGGATGCCAACAAACTTAGATTGACAAATAACCGCCTTATAGGAAAACCCGATGATGAAATAGACTCAACAGATGGTGACGATGAACTAGAAAGTTCGGTAAATAATAGCAATGAAAAAACGTGTGATATTTCCGCGAGTTTGGAAGATCTGAAAGGTGAATTTGATACAAAGAATATTTCTTCAAATGAAGACTGTGATGGTATAAATGAAGAATTATCGAACTCACAATCGTCTGGATGTATGTCACAATCATCACGACGAAAATCAGAATCTGATTTATGTGTAGAACATAAAACAAACACAAGAAATCATCTTGAATTACTTCGGGAGGATACCAAACCAAACGAAAAAGAGCTGAACTGTAAAATATTTAAACTAACTAAGCATCTTAATGGTAATAATTTACATGAAGAGCAAGAGAGTTCAGGGAATATAGTCAATGAACATATTACCGTAGATGATGTAGTCGCAGCGGTCGGTGGAAATAATCAAGTAGATGATGATGTTATTAATAAAGTTGAAAATCTTCAGGTATGAAAATGGTAATGTTACAATAATTTGTCAGCGTGTGATGTTTCAGGTCATGAGTATATTGGACAGCAAAACAGTGGTCTAAAGACATTTTCAGTGACCAATCATCCATACGAGTGGTGATCGAGTTTATGATTCTATGCGAGGATGGTTAGGGAGGAACTTAGAGAGTATTCTGTCCAACGAATTTGGACGTGCTCATTCCCTATACATATAGGCCAAATCACTATCATAAAAACTACTAAAATTAGAGGAGTGCGTACCAAATATTGAAAAATCAAAATACTGTGCATAGAGAAATAAAGCTTCGTGAGGGCAAGATAGTGTTTCGCACGATTTCGTAGCAAAATATACCATGTCTACCGTCTATACGCAATAAATCAGTAAGCTTATAAAATGTTACCTAATGTCTCAGTTTAGCTAGATCACGCAAAGAATATACTATGAATACTTTTAGTACGCTAACTTCGTTGTAAAATTCAACAGAAACCTCATTAAAATTGTATAGATAACCCGCTCCTAAGACGGCGGTCATCTTGAATTGTTCTGTACGGGTGACTGTGGAATGTCGAGTTTGTGACCCCAAAAAAAAATCTATAAGATGTGGTTTCGTTGGTTATAAAAACTTTTCGCAAAATGCTCAATGGAAAACCAGAGCATATTTAATTAAATTAAGGTACAGTACAACGCATCAACAAAATCCACTAGTGAATAGTTTCGTACCACAAGATGTGGCACTCTTCGGATAAATTGACCTAAGTTGATTTGTTGTAGCTACCTTAATTTATACGTATATATTAGGCTCCCCATTGGAGCATTTCTAGATCACTTACCTTCAAAAACCCTCTTGAATTTAGCGGCATATTTCGAAATCATGTTCAGCAAAAGCAATTTGGTAATTTTAGCCGCTCGTGAAGAGGCCATTTTGAAGATCAATCAATTTCGACCAATCATATTGCGAGAAAAACAATGGTTATCCACCTCACAATTTCTATTGATATGTAATGTTCTTTGTCTATTGTTCATTGTTTATTTTATATTGTTTATGAAGAGACTTCTCAATGATTCTAACAAAGGGTGGAAAATGGTTAAGGAAGAAACGAATCTTTATATTTTGACAACATTAATGGTCTCTTGGATAGATTGCTTAATGGTAATTTTTAATTATGCCTTCATTCTGACATAGCGCTAACCCTGGCTTAAAATTTAACTTGCTGCATTTTGCTTGTGTTTATTTCATAACTTCAGAAAATAATTTTTTTTTGATCCGAACAAGATTCCTGGAAAAAGTATTGTCCAAGTTTATCAATATGCTGTGAGGAAATTTGTTTTGAAGTTTTTGGTTAAACTATAGGATTAAACTGATGGCTTTCGACCAACCAGCCCCAAGTCCCCTGATAAAATTAGATTTCCAGTAGTTTAATTGAGTCTCCGTTCACTAAGTGTCACTGCATGTAGGTCACGTATATATATTTTCCCCATATGTCAAATTCCCTCTCAATATTTATGGTATAGAATATTATTTACACTGTTAAAGCTCCGACAATGTATGTAAACCTGCATATTTCCACGAGCAATAATTAATACGAACTAACTTTCACAAATCTGTAATTTAGGAACCTGTTTTAAGCTCACATGATGTAGAATCATTAGTAGAAAATAAAGAAAATCCACAAGAAGCTTTGTTAGGTCTAAGTAAAGTGAGTTTTGTTGCCATAGATAAATATTTATATTCAATTGTTGGCTATGTGTGATGTGTCTATTTCCATGTTCACCTGCGATGGGCGTCTTTCATATAATCCTGTTATTAGTGTTATGATATCTAATGAGAGCTGTTTCATTCTTTTAGTCTCAAAGAGGTATTTGTGAATGTCTGTTGGTAACCATTTTTAAGGTATGTTGGGTAGAGTACAGAATCTTCGGATCTCTAAAACTACAATAGCTAAGTTGAGTTTCTATCGTCTGAAGCTTTCTTATTGAATTGTTGGTTTTCTAAATTAAAAACAACCTGCATATTAAATTAATTTTGTTATAATATTCTACAGCTAAATCCTGTTGATAAAAATCTGCGTGAGAAAGCTTTGTTGAGGATTCTAACACTCTTGACACAGGATAGAGGAGTTACGAAAGATGATGGTACTGGGAATACATCTGTACCGTCTGAGACAGAAAGTCGAATTTTGAACTCATCCTTAATGGGAAAGTTTTTAAAATTTTGTATATTGTTGTATGAAAATTGGTTAAAGGAAGTAAGCTAAAGCAATACGAAGAATAAAATTGCTGCAATGTTCAACAAAAGCTGATTTCTACCATGGTTAATAGACCAACTTAACTTGTTATGAAAATTGGCAATGCCCATTTCAATGTTTATTTACGCTTTTTGATAAGCAGTGTTGCCAAGTACCTTCCTAACCTTACTTATATTTACAGTGTTGCCAAACACCTTACTTACTGTATAATAACCTTTTTTGCACTTTTGAGAAATGCAATATTTCGGTTTCATTGACATGCTAACAAATCAGAATGCACTATTTCATTTTTATGAAAACAAGTGATCTTTTAGATGTGTGAATAAACCTTGGAAATGGGCAATTTGCATACCAAGTTAAGTTGGTCTGTTGAAATTGTTCAGGCATACACAAGATTCGTAAACATTTCTATAATTAGCATGCGTTGAAATCAGTTTGTATCTGCGCATGCAAATGTAATTCTTCGTTTTTGTTACTGTAACCCGACCGTTAACTGCAACCCTTAGCCAATCAGCGACGAGTAGTATAAACTTATACGTCATTATTTCATTATGAAATAAGTCATTATTTCATTATGAAATAACGTTATTATTTTATTGTGCCTGTTCGCAGGCAAGTCTTTGAAACATCAACATGGCCAGGTTGGCAATCACGGCAAGGTCTTACCAAGTTCTTACCACGTTCTTAGCAAGATTAGGCCATGGTCTTGCCACGATCTTACAAGGTCTTGCCATATAATCTTTCCAAGAACTTGTGATATTCTCGCAATAATATTCTTGCCATGATTTTGCAATGATCTTGCCATGATCATCCCAAGAGCTTGCCAAGTCCTTACCACGATCTTTTCATGTTCTTGTGATGACATATGTTCTTGTGATCCAAATTATTGTCATTTCTTCAATCTAGTCATGCATAAAATGTTTATCCTGATCTTTAGACTTAACTGTTTTGATTGATAGTGAATGTTCTAAATATATATATGTGTGTGTTATTTAATTGAAATAATGTAATATAATTATACCATGAGGGAATCTAAATTCAAAATAAGCTTTTTAGTTTCCATTTTGGATTTCCTCGCCACTATACGGCTTGCGTTGTTTTGTAGTTATGTTATGTTATATATATCTTAAGATCTGTAATTTGTAATTGTAATTTATAATAATACATTCATTCATTCATGACATTATCGTGATTTTGCGGCAATAATCATGTTATTGCCGTGATATATATTTAATATCTATTTATTTATATTTATTCTGTAAAATGTTTTGAATACTCGTGAATACCAATCAAGAAATTACAACACATTTTTATTTAATGATTTACAACACAAAATAATGAAATACAGTATAGTTTAATTTAAATTAGTTCTAACATTAGGTGTACGTCTTTATAGTGTGTGAGTGACTCAAAGGGACAAACCACTCGTTCATTCTTTAATAATGCCTTTTGATTTTTTGTTGTCTCAACATTTGTTGGCTGTATCGTATACACAATTATTTATTTCTTCTTCGCCGTATTATGAACTTAAAGGCATAGTTCAGCCTTTTGAATGATTGTTTTTAAGGCGCATTTCAGAGAACAGCTTTGAGTGTTAATTTTGCCTACTTTTTTTATTGGTTTCCATGAAAGCCTTAGACCAGTTCTACTATCTGACGAAGTTTGAACGAAAAATGTTGAAAACTCGCAGAGTTATTTAATAAAATACATTTTGCTGCAATAAGAAAAACATTGAAAATGTAATATTCAAATTCAATTTTCTCCCGAAGAATTTTACGGCAATTACTGATTTTCAAACGAGTTGTTCTCCTGCGGGTTTTAACGAATTTTTCTCAAATTTTCACAGGACATAGCTGAAGACGTCAGTTTAAAAATTGTGTTCAGCTTTTTTTCTAATTTTGGATATTTTAATAATTAAATAAGGACTAGCAATTCACTCAAACGATCCAGAAATATATTGCTGTCGTCAAAGAAATCGCCATATCAGCGGAATGACGAAATAAACAAAAATTTCCGAACACATTTTTAGAACTACTATTTTACTGTATAAAAATGATATTTTCATAAATATATCTTAAAACCAGCAGGAAAACAACTCAAAAGCGTAAATTAAGGTACCGCGATTTAAGATTTTCCTGAATAATTCTTACATTATTTTATTGTTTGTCAATTTTACGACTTTAGTCTTTACCATATTTTGCATGCACTGGCGATGAAAATCGGCCTGATATTGAGTGGGCAGTAGCCATAGGCGTACCGGGCGGGGGGCCCCCCAGTTTTTTGGGCAGTCGGGCAATATTCGATCAACAGTCGGGCAATTTCGGTTTGCAATAAAAAAAAATGGTAAATTTTTTGGCAAATTTTGTGATTTTTCGAAAATTTGTGCTATGTTCCGAAAAATATTGGTTGTCCGGAAAAAGTTTTTGACCCCTAAAATGGTACACTGACCGAAATTGTTTTGGCGACGGGGGGGGTGGGGGGGGGGAGGTCGCCAAAATAATTTTTCCGGAAAAAAATTTTTGGTACTAGTCGGGCAGAATCCCGAAAAGTCGGGCAATTTTCTTTCCGCCCCCCTAATTTTTTCCTTCCGGTACGCCCATGGCAGTAGCGCTTTTCCGCAAAACGCCAAAAAGGGTGTCCTGTAACCTTATTAAACTAACTAGGAAAATCAATTAAGCATAACTCAAGATCAGCAAACTTAATCTTTTTAACATTTTAAAAATTTTTATTGTTAATTAAAAACATTGAGTTTATTGATCTTGAATTATGCATAATTGATTTTCCTAGTTCGTTTTTTTTTCAATTAAAAGGGCTGAAATGTGCTTTAAAAACCATCATTCACAAGGCTAAACTGTGCCTTTAAGCCATATTAAGCCCTGTCAAACGAGAATGCGAACAACCTCGATCCTATAGTGTCTTCTCTCTTGTTGAGAATATAGAGGTTCAGATTTGACTATCGCTACGACTACCTCTAACTGCATGGCTTAGTACAGATTGGTTAAATAAATATATCAAACGTATCTGATTGGTTGATGGTCCCTTAATGGTAGCGGTGGTGGAGGTCAAATCTGAACCTCTATAATAGCCTGCGAACGAAGTTGGAATGACTGCAGTTGATGAAAGTTGCAACTCTCGCTCGTGTTTGACCGGCAACTCTCATCAACTTTGAGCTGGTTCAAATTTTGATGAGAGTTGGCAGGATTTTTTGCTTGTTTGACTCGAAGTATTGAACCCGGTTCTCGTTTAACCAGTGCTTCAAACACTCATTAATAATTCATATGCATAAGCTTATTGGTAGGTCTTTCCCAGGCTTGCCCGATTTTAGGGACTGCCTGCCATGCAGGCTAGCTTATTGGCAAATCATGTCAACCATAATATGTCACGTACAGTGGCTTTAAACCTGATAAAACACTCCTAATTAGTATTCTTTATATAAAGAACTAATAAGGCAGTATATCTTCCTAATTAGTATTCTTTATATAAAGAATACTAATAAGGCAGTATCTATTGTAGGTCGTGTTTGAAGCCGTTTAATAAACTTGCAGGACGTGTTTTATTAGGTCTAAAGCTTAAAGCTAATAAAACACTCCTGCTCGTTTATTAAACAGTACTTTAAAAGGTCTACAGTATAAGAATAAAAACGTCACATAAATTACAATGTGTGTGTATTTAGCTGCCAATGGATGGAAATAATTCAGCCGCGTTTGTGTGACTTTTTCATTGTCTAAGTAACAAGTCACAAGTGTTTGGACATTTTATTCGGTCTTTAATTATTGGAATATCAGTTGGATCATAGCCTATCGAAGGGAAGATGGCTGTGAAACTCGTTAGAAAAACAATATAACTCATTATCTATGTTGGTCAACGTTTATTGATAAATCTGGTCCTTCACCGTCACGTGTGTATTGTATTCTTGCCCAACTAACCAATAGCAATGTTTTAGGAAAGTCACCTATCCGTGACTCGAACAACAGGGAAACTGGAAATTGCTATTGGTGGATTTGGTAAAAATACAATACACACGTGACGGTGAAACGACCAGATTTATGAATGAACGTTGAGTAACATAGATAATGAGTTATATTGTTATTCTAATGAGTTTCACAGCCATCTTACCTTCTATAGGCTATGGTTGGATGGCGACGAGTAGTCAAAACATACTTGTTTTCCGGTAATGGCTTACAGGAATTATGGACGAGAGGGAAAGATAGCTATAGCCATAAGGATTGGGGGTAAGTTTTAGGGTAAACTTGGAAATTGTTTCAAGTACCTGGGTGTTGATTCTTTTGCGTGTTAACGATAATTGAAAACCTCCCTCTCGTTCATCCCTTGTCACCAACAATCTGCACACGTGCATTGGTTGAATATTCAAAACCATAACCCTTCAACAGTTTAATTGAGTGAGATGCAAAACAATCATGATATTCACCCATATATTTTACCATGGCATGGCTATACATATGGCTATATATATCTTTAATTTAAACCTTGTTGGGAAAAGCCATATATATACGGATAAGTTTGTGTGCTAGACTTACACTTATTTGGATAAATAAATATTTGCCAAGTGAAGGACTTCAACCCAGCGCTATTATCATTTGGCCACTAACTAAAGGCTAGCTTTAGGGACCGGTCATAAAGTAATTACTAGAGGGAGGTGGAGGATCGATAAATGAAATTTCAAGTACATATTTCCATACCCTCTCAAGAACCTATGGAAAAATTTTCGTAACCCCCTTCAATGTAAGTGAAAATGTTCATACCCCCCCCCCCTTAAATCATTAACATGTTCTAATGGTGTGAGCTTGTTAGCATTGTCATTGACAATTCAGATGTATCAGATTTTACTCCAAAAGTTCCACGGATACTGAATCCTACTTACCATCTGACATTGAGTCAGACTGAAACATATATACTTTGTGTTGATTTAATAATAATTATAGTAAAACAATTCTTTCCAAACTTAAATCTGGGCACAAATATACATTCAATATTCAACAATAATTATAAAATGTAATTTTTGTCCTACCTATAATACTAAGATTTTGGTACCATCCTAGAAGTTCTGTTGTTTTTTTCGTACTCCCTCAGAGGTTCTGGGGTTTTTTCGTACCCCCCATAAATATCCTCCACACCCCATAGTAAATACTTTATGATCGGTCCCTTATAGTTAATTAACACGGGAACAATAACTAATAATTATACTCAGCCTATACATCTATAAATACAGGAATATTTCCACGTGAGTTGAAGGCGTGGTGCTAAAACTGACCCAAGTAACTATCGGCCTATATCCGTTATTCCAGTGGTTGCAAACATTTTTGAAAAAATCATTTTTGATCAATTATATGAATATCTTAATACGAATAAGCTGTTAAGTCCCTGTCAATCTGGATTCCGATCAATGCATAACACTTTAACGGCAATAATTGAGGCTACAAATAGTTGGTCCGTTAATATTAACAATGGACTAGTAAATGGAGTTGTTTTTATTGATTTAAAGAAAGCTTTCGATACGATTGATCACGACATTATGTCGCTAAAACTTGAAAATTATGGAGTTGAGCGAAATAGCCTAACTTGGTTTAAATCGTATCTCACCGATAGAACTCAAAAATGTCTGGTCAATTGTCAAACTCCGTCCCAATAACCTGTGGCGTTCCTCAGGGAAGCAATTTGGGGCCACTACTTTTTCTTGTCTATATTAATGATTTACCAAACTGCCTCAATCATACAACACGCAGAATGTTTGCAGCTGATACGAGCGTCATGCCTCAAATTCTGTTGAAGAACTGGAAAATATCATGAACTCTGACCTCAAAAATCTTAATGGTTGGCTTACAACCAATAGATTAAGGTTAAATATCGTAAAAACAGAGTTTATGATTATTCAGGTTCTCGCCAGAAAATAAGAGTTATAGATGGGGAAATGAATATTAAGATAAATGATAATAAAATAAATAGGGTTGATTTCGTCAAATCCTTAGGGCTACACATTGACGAACACCTTTCTTGGTCAGTACATATTCGCAAATTATGTAAAAAAATTGCTTCAGCTATAGGCGCTTTAAAACGCATTAGACCGTTTATTACCACGAACACTGCTATTCAAGTTTACCAATCTTTAATTCAACCTCATTTTGACTACTGTTGCTCGGTCTGGGACGGTCTTGGTGAAACATTAAGCTGTAAAATACAGAACCGAGCGGTAAGGGTTATTACGAGGTCTAGCTACGATACCAGTGCAAGCACCCTATTAAATACTTTACACTTAGATCGCCTTTCTTAAGACGCAAAAAGGTTAAGGCTGGCCTAATCTTTAAGACTCTCAAAGAGAATATACCGTCATATCTACAAGACTTTTTTTCAGTTCGTGACACAGGGTACAATTTATAACAAGAAATTCTGAGACGAGATTAAACTTGCCCAAGCCACGAACAAATTACTTAAAACGAAGCTTTTGTTATAGTGGTGCCTCTTGTGGAACAGTCTTCCTCAAGATATACGAAAGCTTCAAACCAGTAGTACATGACGAGCCGCACGTTTTGAAAACTAGCGGGATTTGCAAACTGAGTTTGCATTTTTCAGGAAGCGGGTGCAGCTTACCCACCAACAATTAACGCTATGCGATGTCATCAATCCAGGAGAAACTGCTCAAACAGTGTGAGATCAAACATGTAATAAGTTTAATTTCAGTCCGAATATTAACCTACATATGTTATATGATATTTTAGGTACAGTTTAGTACAAACAAGACGCCTGCTCAGGCAGGGGCGTAGGAAGCTTCGAAAAGTTGGGGGTGCCAGGCTTTGAGGGGCACCTTTCAAAAAAAAAAGGGCATCTCAAAATTTTTTTCGCCCCCCCCCCCGTCGCCAAAAGATTTTCGGTCAGTGTACCATTTTAGGGGTAAAAAAAATTTCCGAACATACAATATTTCTTCTTCAATACTAAAAAATTTTCCATACACACCAATATATTATATTTTTCTCGGAAACTAAGACATTTTTCGGAAAAAAAACATAGATTGAAGTTTTCAAAAGTTTCGTTTGGCCAAAAAATGCAAAGTTTATGAAAATTTTTCAGTCACAAAAAGGGCACTTTGCTCCTGGAAAAAGGGCACTTGCCAAAACGTGGGGGGCCTGGGCCCCCCTGCACCCCCCCCCCCGTTCCTACGCCCCTGTGCTCAGGCGTTCACACTGGCCTGAAAATAATGAGATACGTGCTATGGTGCAAAAGGCAGGAATACAAATTTTAAACCGCAAGCAAATTTTATGGACTGTTTAAAAAAATAAAAGACCTTTTCGGGAGACGTAATGGTGCAAAATCTATTACTAGGAGTTACTATTGCAAGGAAAGTGCTGCCTTTATGGCGTATGAACTGAATGCAAAAATTTATACTTCTAGACAATTCTCGGTTATATTATCCCCAATGTTTCCTTCTCGTTTATCATTTAAGCCCGTTCACAAACTCATTCTTAAATTGTGTGCACGGAATACGAGTAAATAGCCAACATGAAAATGAAGCCATTGGGTCAAAAGTGGACATTAAGGTCTATTAACCTATTAGCTGACAATGTAATTTAGTATTAACTCTGGCTAACGCCAGATCAATTTACACTGTAACGCCAGACGATTTTACTTGTTAGTGGCAGAGTACTGTCAGTACATGGGTTAACAAACACATCTGACATTGGTCTCTTATTAACCCATTAACAGGCAATGCACCCTAGTAACTCTTCAGAATTTGCTTGCTCAGAGTCAATGCGAGTAAAATACATCTTGCATTCAAGCGCTTTCATGTACAAAGTTTCGTTTGAATACGGCACAGAGTAGGAATATTTATTTTGAATTTTTCAAAATATCGGGTTTTTACTCGCACGCACGTTTATAGCTCGATTGATGCACGTGCAAATCATGCCGACCTACAGAATCGATTTCCGGTTTTTCCTAAACAGCGCGTTGTTTTGATCGCCGCGCTAAAAAATATAAATATTCTGTAAATACCGAAATAAAAGATGAAAATCCCAAGACACAAGCTTGAAAATAACACTATAAATAGTGTTTTCGATTCTGGTCCAAATAATATTATTACCAAAAAGATATGTCCAAAGGGGCCGAAGTTATGTTCGGCAAAATGTATGGCAAGTTTACGTTTGTTATATTATGAAATATGATACCATACTTGTATTAAAATTCGCGTCGAACTCAGTTATTGTATTAGGCAAATGAGTAGACTTGCCAGTTGCCACAAGTCGACCTCGAACGAAATGCGTTTCTACGAGGTCGACTTGTGGCAAGTCTAGCAAATGAGAACCATACAATAATGGTTCTAGTTCTTGTTGGTATTTTGAAGGCACGCTTTATCTTTAGTATAGCTACCACAAAGCTTTTCGCGTCGATTATATTTCGCGCAGTACGCACCCAGCGGCCAGCGCTACGCGAATTCTCTTAATTCTTAGTATTGCGCGGATTTTAATACATGTATTTAAAGGTATATTGTCGACATTTGACTAACACTATCGTAAAGAATTAGGAGAGTTTGTCCTTGTTTATATTCCAATATATTGTATAAATTTCCTGGGTATAAATTTATGAAATTTTGGGGTTTTCGAGTCGTTTAATTTATTACAAAAAGAAAAACATTAATTCAACAGGCAAGAAAATTCAGAGTGCGACGCAAAAATTAACACAAGTACACAACGGATGTCCACAGGAAACCGGCACAATTCTTTGAAAATTCAACGAAACTGTGTAAAATATAGTTTGATCACTCTGTGAAAAGTCGCCATTGGAGTTTGGAATTGTGCGCGTGCGTACACGTGTGTGGGCTAATAAACGAAAAATGTACCACAAGCATGAGTCGACTATTACGTACATAAATACGAGCTTATTACTATACACCGAGGTGAGCCTGCGATGAGCTAATGCAAACTTCACTTCTCGAGTACGGAAAAAACAGAAAGAGAGGGATTTAAGACACTTGGCTTACAGGCCAGTGTAATAAATGGCTTGATTGTTGACAGAGCTAACACTACAGGATACAGCTAGATACCTCCAGGTGTAGCTAATTCACAATGCTATTTAGATAGCCCTATTTGGCTATCTTTAAAACGGGGAATCCGGGAATCGGGGAATCCGATAAAAATTTTATAAAAATTTAAATAAAAATTTTATTCAATTTACAATTTATGCAATAAAAGAAAATGAAGCTTAATCGAAAGTTTGACGTCACACCAAAATTGCAGGACACGAAGTCGTGAAAAAACCCAGTTTAATACTTTTAAACGGGCATTTAATGTAAACTTCACGCAGGATATAAACTAAAGCGAATGTGTAATAGCCATGATTGCGCTAAATTAAAGAGTTTCGATATGCATTGTCGCCATTTTTTGTTGGCACTTACATGTAATATAATATTCATTGCTTTGATTGTGATTGTCAAATATAATAGCGGTAACACGTTTGCAAGTCGCTTTTTCCTGCTGACATTCATGATGTAATATAATATTCATTGCTTTGATTGTGATTGTCAAATATAATAGCGGTAACACGTTTGCAAGTCGCTTTTTCCTGCTGACATTCATGATGTGTGGAGTGCATGGAAGATTTAAAATGCCATCGCTAATAAAGCGAAGGCGAATAGATCATGGTCTGCCTCCATTTGATTGGAAATTACTTAAAATTGTAGAAGAGCTCGGTAGTGGCACTTTCGGTTCCGTCCATTGTGGGACATATGGAAAAGACAAGAAGACCGTGGTTATAAAGAAGCTTAAGAGCGGAGTGCAGAGTGCAGTTCTTAAAACACAAATGTGCAGTCATCACACTAACAAAAATAGCCTTAATTAAAACAGTCTTCTCATTTACTCGTTACCCTTGTGGATGCTCCAGAAAATTCCAGAAATGCTGTTATTATTAATTGAGCATCAAAAATATAAACGTTTGGATGGAACTGAAGGAAAAATTGGGGCGAGCGAAGCTCCCCAAAAGAGATTAAAGTGGGAAAACCTAATATTCTTTGCTGCCTCAAATGCAAATTTAAGGTTGTTATATATTGAATATCAATGATTCCCAGTTATATGTTTTGAAACAGTTTTTGTGAGTGATTGGGTAAAAAAATCTTTGCCGGAACTTAAGAGCCTCTAGATTCAAATTGTTTTGTGGAACACCCTCTAGCTCCCGCACGGGTTTGTCTGACCTTTCTCTAATTCTCCCACCCAACCACACCACAGGGCCGTAGGAAGCTCTTTTCGATTGGGGGGGCTGAAAGCGAGGGCCGAAGGCCCGAGGAAATTTTTTAATTTAGAGTCTCTAAAATGCCATTTCCTGGACTTTGGGGGAAGATTTAACAGAATTCTGATAGTCAGAAAACAGCGTTTTAGTATGTCGAAA